TGTTCTTCTTCTAGACTGCCATTCAAGGCTAAAGAGCCCAGTTTACCCAGCTAATTAAACCATAGAGGAAGATAAGGTTTCATGCCTTTCCCAAGAGCATTAGTTCAAAGTGAACATAACAGATTCTAATCATCAATTCCAGTTTCTCTGCTAACTGCTATGTTACTCACACAACCAGATATTAGATTCTTAATATTAGAATATGAAAAATTTTCAGTAGATATATAAAATTAATATTACATTTTAAATAAAATAAGAGTCACAAATCTATAAAAGATGTCAATTGTGTGTCTAGTTTTTAAGAATGTGAGCGCTCATGCCTATCGCAATATTGATCCATTAGCCTCCTTAATGTCATCAGCAAACTCTTCAAATCTATAATCAACAAGATTGTTGTTGAACAGCTCAATAGGAACAACCTCCTGGGTGATAGCCAGCATGGATTTCTCCATTTTAGATCCACAGCTGATGTCTTAAATGTCATTAATCACAGAATTAGTGAAGTTTTAGACAATAAATTCATCAAGAGGACCATCTATAGATATATCAAAGGATTTTGTTACAATGTATAGCATTGGGAGCTGCTAAATAAACTCTCCAGTTATGGAAACTCTGGAAAGGCTCTTTCAATTATCAAGTCTTTTCTAACAGGTAAGTTCCTGAAGGTTGTTGCAAACAGCCAGTCATTGAAAGCCCATAAGATCAATGTAGGTGTTCCTCAGGGTTTTCTCCTCAGTCCTACTCTCTTTCTGATCAATATTAATGATCTGCCTAAGAACATACTCTGTAGTGAGTATCTATGCAGATGATACAACAGTTTATAGGTACACCTTGCTAAAAAAAAAAAAATCAGGACAACCAGAACCTGGCAGCTGGCCTTGCACTGGTGGCTCAATAGGGGAAAGATTGACTAGTAAAATTCAATATGTCCAAAACCAAACTAGGAACATTCCACCATCATTGAGCAGGCCCTGAACATTCACCTATCACGATGGACAGGTGTTCTCTTAAGGAGGCCCCAATGCTTTGAATATCTATTGGAAATCAAAAATGGTCAGTTCATTGTATCAATCCAGTAAATATCTGACTCCTGCTGCTTTACAAGAGCCAGATCAGACCAAAAATGAAGTATTGTTGCCATATCTGGGCTGGAACTTCCCAATCCTTATTTGCCTGTCTTGATAGAGTTCAAAAGTATCTACACGGCCTTGGGAGTGATGAATTTCCCTTTACAACCCCTTTCCCACAGATAAAATGCCACAAACCTCTTGCTACTCTGTTGCTATTTTCATGGCAAGTGTTCTGATGAGCTGCATAATTTTGGTCCCACCGACCACATACATAAATTGATCCCACCATGTGCACCAACCCTTAAATTTACAGCTAGGACCCACCAAGCCACATACATGAAGATGAATCATACTCATTTCCTTCATATTCCATTAGTAAAAAGTAACTTCCACTCGGACAGCTTCTTCCCAAGAGCTGATTTGTGGAACAGACTCCTGGCAGGATGTTTCCCCAATCATTACAATCTTGACCCCTTAAAGTCTAGGGTTAATTGTTACCTTTCCTATATAACCCCATGAACTGCAATTCTTGCTTTTCTTACACTTATACAACACCATACAGTAATTGAGTGGCTCTTGGGCCTTATATGAACATTAGTATAAAAGAAAGATTAAAAATTTCAAGTATTAATTTTTAATGTAGACTTATCTAAACTAAACTGGTAAACATTCTGCATATATTGAGACATTAAGGCTGTACTGGATGCTGGAATTTGAAAATACATTTGCATTTTGAAAGCTGTTCTCTATATATTTATATAGGTATAATAATAATAAGACTTTATAAAGTTTGTGAGATATATATATATATATATATATATATATATATATATATAAAATCAAATATGAGGAAAAGTATTGTATTTAACATTATAAATAATGATACTCAGAATAACCCTAGTAACTTGTATAGAAGTGGGTGACTTATCGAAATTATTTTAGGTATGCACAAAGAAAAAAATATTTACTCCAAAATATGGAAACTATACCTTACTAAGTTTTGAAAAAATGTTTAAGGATGTTATTAAATTGCAGTGTTAAACTGAATTATAATGTTTTACTAAAGCTAAAAGAAAATATATTTCCTATCATAATTGGTTTTAATTAATAGTGAATCTTTTTTTATATTCAGACAAGAGTTAAAAGTATAAAATTATTGAACAAAGAAAAATCATGACTGATCAAGAGAGAAGTATACTTATACAAAATATTCATGAATAAACAATTCATTAAAGAAAATATTGAAACAAACTTAAATATTTGGCCTAAATCACTTTATCTAGAAATGAACATCTAATTGCAGGATATGCCAGTCTATTCTTTTGTACCAAAGGCTTTTTGAAAGAGGGTCATGAGATTTCCTGTTCATATGAGGTGATATCCAAGTGTGAAATGGTGAAATTTGAATAGACTGCCCAAACTGAACAATGTAGTATTGACTTTTTACTGTTACCCAGTGTGCAAACAGCTGGACTACTTTGAATGATACTGTAGAAACTATGTTAAAGCAAGTTATTTTTCTAAAGCTCAAATTCCTTAGACTTTTGAAGAACACCTCAAATGTTTTCTTACAAAAAAAGCAAAAAAGGTAGATATTCAAAAACTATTGAATCTTTTCTATCATCTCAACAGAAATAATAAAAAGGATTATTTCAGTTGTTTTTTATTTTTGGTATTAATAGAAGAATGATGACTACTATCTTCATTCTATTCCCAATTTCTATCTTACTTCATTGTCAAAGTAAGCATGTCCAGTATTATTGACACCTTCAGACTAGTATTCTTTTAGTACACTATACATTTGTTACCTGCAAGTTGGTTAACCTTTAGCACTCTATAAGCAACTGTTTACTGAACAAAATGTTTCCCTGCAATACTGATCCCAAAACAATAGCATGTTTAAATTTCATGTTGTGTTGTTCCTGCAATGGAAACACAAAACAACCTTGACTGAAATTGGCAATGGGGTTAATGCAGTTGAGGAGTTTTGAAAAAATTAAAGTGAAATGGAAAATAATATAGGTGAATAGATCAGAGTGCTAAAGGCTAATTAGTAATACTGAGATTATAGATAGTAAGTGTAGCACACAATGCAGGTATTTATAATTGAAGATAAAATACTTGATATGTGAATACAAATGAAACCACAAGTCATTGATAAAATTGGAATATTCTGCATTTTCTAAACTTGTATTTGGACAGAGTGCATATCTAAATGAGTATATACCTGGACTTGGCCAGGGACTTGAGAATGTATCTTTAGCAGGCCATAACTAGAAGACTTACCTAATTTAACATGACATGCATCAAATTTTAATATTCTTAATTCTTTTTCAGATATATCAAGTGCATTAACAAGGCAGCTTCTAATTCAACAGAGGAAATGAAAAGACATACCATGATTGTAGCACTAAATGCCAACCACATCACTGTGAAAGACTGCTTCTTAAAAGTGAACAGGAGGATTGACAGGTGATTCTGCATTGACCCCACAGTGATGAACACCAAGTTCATATCATTTGTGATGGTCCAAGGGAGCTGAGCAATGAAAGCCATATCATGCCGCCTGTGTGGCTTCAGGGTCAATACTATACCTATATTAAGGTCAAATTTGAGATTGAGATGTAGGTGTACATGTTCCATCAGGACTGCTCCATCCCATATGACCCAAGTTTATCTGTTTGAGAATTTTCACAATCATATCACCCTCAGTATCTGACCTGCTACTTCCCCTGATTTAAATTCTCTAGACCATTAGGTTTGTGAGATTGTCAAGAGGAAGACCAACCAGTGCCCCCCCACACACACACACAATACCAAAGACATGTGAAAATTACTTTTGTAGTCATGATGGTCAACGTGGATAAGAACCACCTGATCTAAGAATGCAGTTGATATCATAGCTATCCTCAAGATATGTTATTCCCTTTTCTTGTTTTCTTAAAAGCATGCTGATCTTTTTTCATTTACTTTGTTTTTCTTTATATCATAATTTGTTCTTTATTACCTGGCACACTCTGTAGTGAGTTGGAAATAATTTTGAGTGATAGATTAAAATGTATTATTTATGAAATAAGTGGCAAAAAGAAATTGATTTCCAAATGCAACTACACATGCTACTAAAAAGATCTATATATTTCAACAATGATTTCAGTTAAAGAAAACTGAAAAAAATTAAAAAATAATGCAAATTACAAAAATGCATATTGTTAAGGATGTAGATAAGAGGTATAAGCAAATTATTTTTCTAAATGACTCTTAAAAATAAGAAAAAAATAACTTGCAAGTTATTCATTATTAGCATTTAAAATTAAAATAAAAGGTTTTGTAAAACTTTATATAATGAAAAAAATTATAAACACATTTAAATCTTCAAATTATTTTTAGACATATAAAACTGTATTTGTTATTTTGAAACTTAAATGGGTTGATTTTTTTTACATTTTCTTTTTACCTGTCAGTGAAATAAAATAGAACAATTCATCAGTTGGTCTTAAAAGAATCAAGTTTTCTGAAACTAGAATAAATGCAAAACCATCTTATTAGCAAATTCAGCTTGTTGGTAGAACACTCTAAAAACATTTATAGAAATAATTTTGGTAGAACACTATAAAAATATTAAATGATATTTCTGGTTTTGTTTGGTTGATTTGTTTTCTACAGCTTATCAACTCTCTGCAGGTTATTTAAACCAGAAAATATTTTTAGATTTTAAAATTTTTTTTGAGATAACAATGGTTTAGTAATACAATTCTTACTAATTAACCTATAGCTGGGAAGAGAAAAGGTGGAATCATATCTTTTCCAAGGGTAAGTGTAATATATGTAAGTGAATATAACGAACCCAACTAAAATTGGAATTCAACTCCCTAATCAATAATTTCAAGCTGTTATTCATTACACCATTTGTAATGCACATCCAAACTTATTGCACCTGGTATTCCCACCCATCTAAGTACTGATCAGGCTCGGCATTGCTTAACTTTGGTGACCGTACGGGAACCGGTGTTTGAACATGATGTGGCTGTAAGCCGTGACATTTCTGACATGAAAATATTTTTAAAAAACAATATAAAAAGGCAATGAAGTGCCTAAAGTTTGCAGAAATAACGCAATAAAAGTGGGGAAAAAATCATAAATACTGATTTGCCTATTTTGCCTTACAATGTTTAATCTTTTCCACAATTTGGAATCTCTTTCATTTCAGCTTAGAAGATTTAAAAAAAAAAAAAAAAAAAATAGCAATTTATTAAAAGTAAAACCCAGCAGGAACATTAGTCATTCCCAGATGAGCCACAGAAATGCAATGATTCAAATTCTAGTCATCAACAGTTAACCGTTAAGTCTATTTATCAGTTTTCTCAACCAATAAAGTAATTAATTAAACAATACATTTTCATATTCTCACTAAAATGTATGTTTAAAATTGCAATAAAGTATCAACTTTATAGATAATAAAATATCTTTTTGAAACTGTTCAATGTTATAAAACATGAACCATACTTAGATACAATCTAATTTAAAATATACCTTACAAAAATATTAACATTTGATTTAAAAATTTAATTCAAATAATTTAATCTGATTTTTTTATGTCATTTTACATTGTGGCAAACATTTCTATTGCTCATGCTACTAAATACAATGAACTCTACTGCAAATAAACTAAGATACAAAAATCACATACCAAACTAAGTATGACTAAATATCAAATACCAAAATTATTAAAACTCTCACACTAAGAAAAATCAAAAAAAATGAGGAGTAAAAACGATGTGACAAATGTCAGAGAAATTAGAAGATTCTGGAAAAAAAAACACATAGCCAAACATACAGACAGTAAACACTGATTATATTATATAAGAGACTTACTTTCCTAAACAATCTCTGACTGCCACCACCTGCTGCCACAGGGAAATAGATGTAGACATTATGATCCTCAGCATCAACAGGTTTCTCAACAAATGGCTTTTGAAAAACATCGCCAGCCACTTCTATTGAGTCTTCTGTTTCAGTGAATTCAAATTCTGCTCAAGAAAAAGTGAAAGTCATTAGCATTTTTATCATCGAAACATAACCTTTTTTATTCTTTTTTTAATACATCATACATTTTTATTCAATGATTCTTCAGTTTAAAACAAAATCATGTGAATCATTTCTGTATGTTTGCAGCCTAACCATTAAAAAATATAAATTATTTTATGCAACAAATGTTTAGTTTTTAGTGGTGGATATTAATTGCATAGATTTGAACATTATACAGTGAAAATTTCAGATCAAAAGTCAGTTAATAACTACATGTCAGGCTATAGACTTATTGATTCACTTTAATACCAAATGTGCATAAAGTTTAATCAATTAATATTCAGTTATTCAGAAAGTAATGGCACATTGGAAAGAAAAAAATTCAGATATTTAATAAAATTATCAATTGTTGTTATTAGGAAATAACAAAAGCTGACTAATAAAATAGACACAATGTGGTGAAATTAAAAAAAAAAATTAGAATAAAAGTTTATACATTATCTGACAATAAATTTTTCTATAAATTAATCAATCAACTCTGCTGAGGGAAATTTTTATAAACTTACCAGTTTCATTTTGAGCACTCCTGTTAAGGACAGCATATCGTGGGTGAGCAATACATTCTTTATCCAAAATACTGTATACTTCTCTCCTGTAAATTAATCCAGAAATTAGATAGAAAATTCTGCCATTTAATAATCTCATGATTCATGGTACTACTTAAATTAACTAATCTGTGCATTAAAAATAGGGGAGAGTTTGTTTTTTAAAATTTGTGTAGCATTCATTTGACTTTCTTCTGCCCCTGACATTTGTTGGAATTGAAAAATTAAACTGCATACTATTAATGTTGTGCTTTTGTCTAATTTCTAATAATATGCAGTTATCAATTATGTAAGCACAGTTTACATTTGTAAATAAAAACAAAGTCCAGTTAACTCTAAGTCAGGGATTAATTTGACACTGTATTTATATTGTGAACAAGACCCCCATTTCTAAATGATAAAATCAATCAATATTTTTCAATTCTGAAATGTGTCATGGGGAGAGGAATATCTAATGAATGCTAATTTACAAAACTTGTTTTAAAATTTTTTTTTTTTTTTTTAAATATGATTTCCTGTTTTTTTTTCAACTGGACCTTTATTAATATTACTTCCCTTTCTACTGCATTCTTTTTCAAGGGTTCTCAATTGCATTATCCTTATTGTTAATTTCACTCAAAGTTGTTTTCTGTTACCATAGTGGGATATGACAACACAACTATGAAATTCAAACACATACAAATTCGGGGATCAGAGTCACCTTCAGTGACAGGATAAACTTTTTGTACAGCAAATGAAGTCACATACAGACTGATAAAGGTTAAGTAGTGCCTGATTTACATATTTAATAAAGAAAGGTTTGCATTCAAATATAACCCAATGTAACTTTTGATACCATTACTAACATTTTTGAAACCAGACAAATTTAGTTATTTTCATTTTATTTTTCATTTTTTAATAAGAGTGAATTTATGAATTTGTTACATTCCTTTTCATCTCTGTCTATATTTCTGAGATGAGATATTGTAACTATTTACATCATTCAAACTGTTGTCTTCATCTTTATTGCCATATTCATAGTGTTTTGGCCATTGTACGCTCTGGCCTTCTTCAGGTGATATACATATACATTGGATTTTGAAACAAACCCTTTATTTAGTCCATTGAGGTAAATTGTTCTAGTTCCACGTGCCATGCCTTTTATGGATATCTCAGCTTAATTATCATCTATTTTAACTTGTTCCTTTTTACCCATGGAAATAAATAAAATATTTGATGATAGATGCATATTTTACAAGAACGTTGTTTGACAACCAATCACACCAACTGTGTAATTGTAGAGCCCAAGTCTCTGGAACATGGTAAATTCATATCAGAATATTGAATATTGTATAATATTTGGATATATTTTTTATGATGTGGAGAACTGCATCTCAATATAGTGTTTTAGAATTGAGGAATTAAATTTATATTTATCTATATATTACACATGTAATATGAAAATATTTATATAGTGAGGGAGTGTTAAAAATAACAAAGATAATGTCTATAACACTGAAACCAGCATATGTCATCTTTTTAATGAGTGTATTCTTTGATAATAAGCAAGCATTTGTCATACAACCACAAACCTTTGGAATATAAATTTATTCCTGTTATATAAGCTATTACAGTTTTATTAAAACCATATCTGCTGACCTGAAAAGCACTTTTCAACTACAGCTTACTATACTAAAATTAACCATATAGTTACATTCATTGGTACTCTACTTTTCAGCCATAACATCAGCACATTGGTTGCAGTGCTATGCTTTTTTATAGGGTGGTTATAGACCAGCTGTTGATTCCAATCCAAGTAGAGATGACTACAAAAACATCTTCTCACCAAATGTATGCACAAAACATACAGATGCATGCTAGGATTTCTTCCTAGCCAATAAGATTGGCCACTTCTTGGTCTCATCCAACTTAGTTCTGTTCTTTCTTGTCTCAAAGTCAGAATGCTGTGATCACTTGTTTGTATCCCATTTTTGTGGTTCATACCATTCGTAGTTTGTGAACTTTTTGCCTTATTACTGTTGTTTGATCTTGGCAGGGTTAGGTTTACCGTTTGCTCAATATTATTTTTACCCTGTTCATTTTCTTTCTCTTGTTATTGTTTATTGCAAACTTTGTCAATCCTGCTTGTTGGGCATTTCTGCCAATTACTTTTAACCATTGTCAATTACTCTACACCAGCTAATATAGTACTTGTTTAGTTTCTAAACAACATATCTTCAATTTTTTCATTAATTTTCATTACTTCTCAAACTCTGAAAAACTGATGCTAAGCAAGTCATTGTTTCATTTAAAATGATAAAATATCCTCACCATAAAACAAATGATATTTTTGTGATATTAAATCACAAATATAATAACTGACAATGAAGCAATAAGTTTTTTCTAAACTTCAAAAGAGAGTGTTCTCAATTTGAATATACAAAAGGAAGTAACCAAAATTTTAATGGGTAAGGTGAGGGGGGGGGGTTGAAACAAAAAGAACTGGTGTCATTTACCTGTCTTGAAGAACATATTGCATCTGAAGGTCATTGATCATAAATGGTTTTGTGATCTTCTCATACTGAACTGCTTTTTCTAATGGGAAGCCATTGGAAAAGAAGGCAATAAGTGCATCAACTACTGGCCAGTTCTCCACAGGTTCATCAAGGATAACACTTTCTTCAAAGACAACAACTTCAATGTAGTCAAATCGTTCTAATCGATCCAAGATCTCACACATGGGTTTTGATCGTGATTTTTTTCTCATTGCACAAATACCGACTTTTATAATCTTTCCTTCTTTGACTTTTTCCTGAAAGAAAAAAAGAGTAATGGTTAAGAAATCTCACCACACAGATATTTGACAAACTCAAAACTCTGACAGAATTGCTTTACTTTTTAATAGAAACTAAAAAGTAATCAATTTGTAAGTGATGGTTGTTAAAATTACAAACTATATAACAGATTACTTAAATTATTAATTTCCTTCTATGATTTTGTATTGACAGATTTAAAAAAAAAAAAGACTTAATTTAGGTCTCATGGTTACATACACACATCAAGTAGGAAACAACAAAAGCAGTACTTTTTTCCCCTAATTTCCATGTACTAAAAACTAAATATTTCAAAGTATAAATTGTAATATTTCTTTTTTAAATGACAAAACCATAAACAAAAAAAAAGGAAAAAGCTCTTACTCTGAGACATTCAGATTTCATGATGAGATCTTCTCCGACATAAAATGATGGACGGCAATCTTGAGCCTCTGGGCCACCTTTTTCATCGAAAAGATTCTCCAAAGATGGATAAAATGCTGCCAAATTGTGATCAGCCATCTCTCTTGCCAGGGTATATAACGATATCAAAGAGTTTATGAAGCAGCTTGTTCAAACTTCAAAAGAGCTCGCTGAAAATAACGT